CAGACAACATTCCTGTCACAGTCTTGCAGAATTGTTCTCCAGAACTTTCTTCAATTCTCTCTAAACAAGTGTTTGACTGAGTTTTGTTTTCCTGCTTGTTGGAAAATGGCATCTGTGGTTCCAATATTCAAAAACTCTGGAGAAAATTCTGACCCCTGAATTATCGTCCGATCAGTCTTATTTCTGTTATTAGCAAGGTCTTTGAGTCTTTGATCAACAAATTCCTCACATCTCATCTTGAGTCAAATAAACTGCTGTCAGACAATCAATACGGTTTTCGATCCTCACGCTCTACGGCCGACTTGCTAACTGCTGTAACTGAAAGATTTTATCGTGCATTAGATGGAGGCGGTGAGGGTAGGGCTATTGCTCTCGACATATCTAAAGCTTTCGACAAAGTTTGGCATGCTGGTCTTCTCCATAAGCTTGCTTCATATAGTGTTTCTGGGAAAGTTTTTGAGATTATCAAATCATTTCTTTCTAACAGGTTTATTAAAGTCATCCTTGAAGGCCAACACTCTTCTTTATTTCCAGTAACTTCTGGGGTTCCCCAAGGTTCCATCCTGGGCCCTGTTTTGTTTCTTATCTACATAAACGATCTTCCTGACAACCTTTCATCTAAAGTAGCTCTTTTTGCTGATGATTTTTGCTCTTTTTGCTCAACTTTATACTCCTGTCTTAACAAAAAGTCTTCTCTTTTCGATCGCCTAGAACAAGCAGCTGATCTTGAATCTGATCTCACTTCAGTAATAGATTGGGGTTCACAGTGGCTTTTGAATTTCAACTCTAAAAAAACCCAATTGCTTCTGCAAACAACTACCGTAATATGGTCAACATTCCTATATTAATGAATATTAATCAATCCTCTAACTGAGTCCTCCTCTTTACGTCTTCTTGGATTACCGCTTACTACTGACCTTTCATGGAAACCATATATACAATCGATTGCTAAATTAGCTTCTGCTAAGGTTGCTTCTCTTAATCGTGCTCGCCATTTCCTTACTTCTGATTCCATTCTCTACCTCTACAAATCTCTTATTCGTCCCTGTATGGAATACTGTTGTCATATTTGGGCTGGTTCTTCTAACGATTCACTTTCTCTTCTTGACAAGGTCCAAAAACGCATTGTAAATGTTGTTGGACCTGGACTATCTGCTAAGCTTGAACCTCTTTCCCATCGTCGTATAGTTGCATCTCTTTCTACATCTCTTTTCTGCAGATACTATCATGGTCACTGCTCAAAGGAGTTATCATCTCTAGTTCCATCAACTAAAATTCATTATCGTTTTACTCGTAATTCAGCTAAGTCTCATTCGTTTACTGTATCTGTCCCTGCATGCTCTAAAAACTTTTATTCATCTAGTTTTTTTCCCCGCACTTCAATCCTTTGGAACTCTCTCCCATCTTCATGTTTTCCTGACTCATACAACCTTTAACTTTTCAAGTCTTCTGTCAACCATTTCCTTGCTCTATAACTCTGTTCTTTTTTTTCCTAGTAACTCTCAACTTAATAATGGTTGCTTGCAGCCTTGTTGGGAGTGAATGCAAATAAGTATATATATATATATATATATATATATATATATATATATATATATATATATATATATATATATATATATATATATATATATATTATATATATATATATATATATATATATATATATATATATATATATATTTGTGGAAATTATCAATAGAATTAAAATTCCCGAAATTTCATGAACTTTTTATATATATCGCGAGGTTAGAATTATTTTGTTCTATCTCCACTTTTTGAAAAAAATGAGTTATTAATTGTGTAATGTACCTCAAAATAATGTTTTTCTACTATATTAAAACCTAAGTTAAAATCAAAAAAGTTTCGGAGAAAACATAAGTAATAAAAATCTTTTTAAATGCCGTCTCCTTAAATTTTTATTTTTTAAATCGTTTTATCTCGAAACAAAAAAATGTGGAGATAGAACAAAATAATTTTAACCTCGCGATATATATATATTTCAAATAATAACGATAAAAAAAATTTACAAGATATGAATTTAAAAAAGAAAATTATTTCGTTTTCAAACAAAGCAAAATCATTATTTCCATTCTCAAACTTATCATTTATTTAAAAAAAAACTTTTTTTAAAATTATTTTATCAAAATGATAATCTTAATAAAGCTTTAAGATATCCATTTTCGGTAGCATTTTTAACCGAAATTCTGGCCGGAACCGAAATCTTTAATAATACTAAAACCGGAACAGGAACCGAAATATCCTGTCATTGTTGTGGCTGGAATCGGAACCGAACCGAATTTCGTTCGATCGTTATAATTCGTAAATGAATTGTGATAGATGTGGTGTAGCAAATACTAATGTTGCTTGAAAGATCTCATTTTAAACACTAACAACTTTATGAATTTTTATTAACTTAAAAACATTTAAAACTATGTATAAAACTAACTTTGTTCCAAAACCAGTGTAAACTCTAATAACTCTAAATAACTCAAAAATAACAACAAAAACAACAACAACAACAACAAATAATAAATAATAGGCTTATTTATCAACACATATATGACTATATATTACCTATTTAGCAAATCGTGTACCTACTTATATTTTTATGTGTATTGAAATTAAATTGAAAAAATTAAAAACTTGCATTCTTTGTTTTTTGCATTTTTATTTTTATTCTGCCGAAACTGATAGCATTATTTTTTTAATATAAACTCATTTTAAATCAAAGTACCCAAATATATTAGTAACGCATAGCGGTTTCTTGATGAAAGACCATCGGTCTTCTGCAATGACCATCGGTTTCCCGCGTTCTTTAAAGTAATTTGTAATACTTTACAGTTTTTTTTTTTTTTTTTTTGTATAGCGTAACTTTGTGATTTTTTTTTAATTTTACTATATTCTGTAAATAATTCTATTATATATTACAAATTTGTAAAGATTAAAGAACAAAAATAAAAAAAAATTATATACTAAATTTATTTAAAAAATCCAGTTTAGCAAAATCTCGTGTTGGCATTAGAGTGACATATAAAAAGCTATTAGATAATCAAAAACAGAAAAGAGCTTTATTTGATACACATAAATATATAATTACATGATTTGTTATACTTAATATATTGACAGACATGTACGATATATAAATAAAATCTAGCATTTACTTTGCTGTAAATAATCACACACAAAAATAATAAAAAAAATAAAAAAATTAAACCTATTTTTTTTTTTTTTTTCAAGTTTGTATTGAAAATAAAAACGTTGGATGCTTTTGATGCTTGTTAAATATGTAACAAAATATATAACAAAATATATCTGCAAATTAAAAATGTAACAAAATATATCTGCAAGATAAATAAACTATTTAAAGGGAAAACACCAAAAACTTTACGCTGGGCTGCAAGCAACCTTTTAAAATTTATTTTAATTGTAATGTTTGGTTTTGATACCAAGATTTTATATTACATAATTTAATACAATCGCGGTATATTATGGAATCCTAACTTTAGCTTTTATTTCCACACCGTTGAAATCTCAAGTTCCTGAATGGTATTTCTAAGTGAAGACTTTTTGTTTATTTAGAAAGTTTAGGACAATTTAGGAAATTTATTTGTAAGGAAGGCTTGTGTCAAGACTGTTAGGTCTTCCTGGGGCACCTAAAACAAAAATTTAAAAAAACAATAACTAGGCTTTAAAAAAGATTAATTAAAAAAAAATTTGAGAAATTCTATGTAGCGCAAGCAGAAGTATTAAACAAAAATAAAATATAATTTATTTCATTTCATTTAAAACCTAGATCGTTAATAGTTGTCAGTGATGAGATTTTTAAATAAAATTTCGATTTAAGTTTTGCCATGGAAGTATAAAACAGATAGAAGTTCAACCGCATTGAACTTCTTCGGAACAATGCTTGTAACCATTTGTTTTGTAAACAAAAAGAAAACGATATCAAGACTGTACTAAAACGCTTTATCTTTTTACGTTTACGCAAATAGGTACTTTTATAATTTAAAAATATAGTAATTTGAAGGTTCGCCAATAATATTCAAGTATAAACATTAAAAGTGGCACAACGAAACGGCAAACAACTTTTTTATAAACTTCGTATTAAATGAATGGAGTACTACAAGCAAGGCCGGCGCGATAGGGGGTGGGGTGTGTGTGATACCCCCCACCCATCAATGAATTTTAGTCGGCAAACTGGACCCTTTTAGACTAGTTAGTGGGCAAATGTCGACCCTTTAGATATAGGTTAGACAGTCGGCAAGTGTCGTCATGGCAGTCGGCAAAATTTGAAAAACGAGGACCTTTTTTTTTTTTTAAGTCGGCAAAACTTGTAATGGCACCCCCCCCCCCTCCCCTACGTGACACCTACTCGCACCGGCCCTGACTACAAGAACGAATGGACTTACGATATACAGCTAATGAAACTTTAAACTTTAGTAATTTAGAAAACAATTTTTTTGATTTTTTAAAAATCGTTTTAGTTGTCCTTTTAACCAAACTAACTAATGTTTTAAAAATAAAGTGGTTCTATTTAATTACCGAGTTTTAATAAATCTTTTGCTGAATAATTGCAATTACTAATGGCTAAAACTTTGCAGCATATCCCTAGAATAATTCTTTTTTTAATGTTTTAATAAAAATCATTTCAGTGAATTTTGTTGTTTTTTGTCCAATGAAACTTATCTTTTTTTTTTTTTAATTGTCGGTTACAAGCATACTCCTGAGACGACTTGAAATTGCTTTAATGTTTGCGGCTCGAAAAACTTCCATCTGTTTTATACTTCCATGGTTTTACTAAATCGCCTTAACTAAGTTGAGTAGTTAAATACTCTTCCACGGTGCCCTGTGACAATACCTTCTTGGGGCGTATAAAACAAAAATATTGAAACAAAAGTAAAATTAATTAATTGAATAAGACTTTTTTAAAAAGTAAAATTATTTTTATTATTAAATTATTATTAAATTATTATTAAATTATTAACTTTTTTCAAAAGTAAAATTAATTAATTGAATAAGACTTTTTTAGATTTTTGACTAAAATATTATTTTTAAAATAACTTTTTAAAACTGTGACAGTTACAATACAAAATACAAATAAACACTTTACAAAATGTGACAAAAAAAGAGTTAAAGAAAAAATTCAGATGTTTAATAAACGCCTTGAAGAATCAATAGTCCGTGGTGAATCGCATGTAGCCTTTTCCGGAAGGAACTTCATCTTGCCGAATGCCGTTGGGAAAATATGTGGATACCTCTTCTGGTTTAATAGTTGGAATTACCATTGCTTCGTCACCGAAAACCCAATTAACTGGAGTTGCAACTTTTTTGGCAACCGTTAAGTGGAGTGAATCGATAGCTCTAAGAATTTCATTAAAATTTCTGCCAGTTGTAGCAGGATAAAGAATGGACAACTTCAGTTTTTTATCAGGCCCAATTACAAAAACCTGTAATTAATAATAGAAAATGTTGTGATTTTAATATACGTCAATAATTTGTCAATATTTAGCTTTGCTAATTAATTGACAAAAATCACACGTTGCATATTTTTATTATTATAAAGTTTTGTATAACGACCATTAATTGTTGACAAGAATCACAAATTGTATTTTTAAATGCTATATATAGTGAACAGTTTTCATGTAAAAACGTTGAGATTGTTGATAAGTAATAAAAACATTAAAAACAAAATGGCTTCTAAATGCGTTGAACAACAAGCTAACTGGGCGTGTCTATTATCTCCACAATATGAAGATGGACAGCCAAATTATTCAGCAGTTGGCTTCTTTTTTCGTGATGAATAATATTACTTCAAATCGACACGTAACGTACTTGCTACTACTTTGCCGTCGAAGATTTACAAGACCATGGAGGAATTAACAGCACCTGAACTGTTAGAGGACGTTTCGTACGAAGAGTTGGTGACAAAACTGGAAACGTTGGAAATTAGGAAATCATAGTTAATCTCACGGTATGAATTTGAGAAAACTTATCATGGCAATGAAGAATCGATACAGACCTTTGTGCATCGAGTGATCCGAGCAGCATAAGAACGCAAGTTCTTGCCTTCAGAGAAAAAAGACCGACTTCGTGATCAATTCATTATTGGGATTAATAATGGTGCTGTTCTACGTGCTATTCTTCGGGGAGAAGATGCGTTGAGCTTTGACAATTGTCAAGACTGCATCCGTGACTGTACAAACTAGATTAGATGCGGCATGTTTATCTGTAAATGAAGAAGTAAATGCAAGTTACCGAACAGCTGGGACTGTAATGTCAAGTGATATACGGAGAAAGAAAGAAATGCGATGTTTCAATTGCAAATCATTAAATGCACGTGAGTGAACTCTTTATGCAAAAAATACTCGCATATAAATGCTGCGAAGGACTGCTACAAACGTCGACAAAACCAGGAAAACTTAAATGGGACGAGTTTGCATTAGGTATTTCTACAAGAACTTGTCCTGAAACAATACTACCTACTATCGACTTGGTAATAAACGGAAGAAAAGCAATAGCGCTTGCGGATACCGGTTGCTCGCAATCAATCAACACCGAGAAGTTACTACCATCTGACTATAAAGTGATTCGTGTAGTGAATATTGCAACAATGGGTGGAATAATTCAATGTGATGAAGTTGTTGCTAAAATACACAACCCAACGATCGGGTGGGTGGATGCATTGGTGTTATGAAGTAATAAACATGTACGACACGATTATGGGTATGGATCTAATAAAGTCGTGGGATGAACTGAAAATCGGAATTGGAAAATAGAAATTCTGTAATTCTCTGAATAAGTTATTATCGACACCTCGTGTTGCGACAATTGAAATTAGAACAAGCAAAGTTTTATTTGATGGCAAAAAATGGATTGTAAATTGGGAGTGGGAGAACGAACCTAAAATGAAAAACAGAACAAGTCAGTATAACGTATCTAACTAACATCGTGAAGCGTTCAACAACGAAATTAATGAATGGATCAATGAAGGCATACTTATCAAATATGATGATAAAATTATGGGAAAAGCTAAAGGATTACTACCATTGATGTGCGTCATTCAAGATAATAAAAAGAAGATAAGACCGGTACTTGATTATCGCGAACTTAACACCTATGTAAAAGCCTATGTAAAAGGATGCGGATGTCATCAACAAGAAGATACATTGATGACACCTTAGCAACCAATGGAAATGGAAGTTAGCTGGTGGCACATATGAAGAAATGGGGTCTTCACGCAAAAACACCAGAATATTTTGGCAAAGAACCAGTTCGTGCACTAGGATTGGAAAAAACAGTAAATCCATCTACAAAGAAAATGTTTTGGAAGAGAGTATGCGAGATTCCCATTATTAAAAATGTGCTCACCAAGAGGGATATATTCTCATTATGTGGTAATCTGGTTGCTAATCTACCAGTTGCTGGATGGTTGAGACTTGCATGCAGCTTTATAAAGAGATGTACAAACGAAGCAGGCTTAGATGAAACTATTATGAATAAGTATGTTAATAAATGATGCAGGAAGACGTGGATAAAGTCATAAAATGCGATCCAGCAAAAAGCGTATGGAATGTCAAACTAAATGCATCTCTAAATGTATGGTGAGATTCAAGTTCGCTGTCAAAAGGAGTTGTAATAATGCAAGGTGACAAAAAAATAGAAGATGCGATTTGGCTTTGACCAAAGTCTGATGCAATGCATATCAACGTGGCTGAATTGGATGCATATATTGAAGGTCTCAATATGGTATTGAAATGGAACCCAAGTGATGTCTTTATCAAAACTGATTCTCATAGTGTATTCTGTTGGTTAAACTCTGAATTAACTCGTGACAAACCTGTAAAATATGCTGGGCAATGTGAAATGCTAATTCGACCAAGGCTTCAAATATTTGAAAATTGGTCGAGGATTATGCCATAAATGTAAATGTTGCATGGGTACCAACAACAAAAAATATCACAGATTAACACGAGTGCCTTCAAAATGGATAGAAAACAAAGTTGTAACATAAGAATGTAATATCATTTATAAGCATGATAATCAGCAGATTAAAAAAGTTTAGATCTCAGACTATGCAAGCTATGGCATCGAAATGGAAAATAAGAATTATTTATCAAGCTGTTGAAAAACCATCAGGAAATGGAATTGTTGAAAGAGTTTATCAGACGGTAAAAAGAACAATTTGCGAGAGCAAAATGTGGAATACCCATGTCTATCTTCTTAATCAACAACGTACCATCAAAACACGGCACACCTTTTGAAATCTTTTGCCAACAATACAAACGCGTCAGAATTCCTAGAATCGACAAAGTGGAATCAACACAAATTTCCCTGAATAAGTGTCAAGGATGGAAAGTTGGTGATAAAGTGTGGGTGAAGCCCAAGCGTATAACGCTGTGTACACAGCAATGGTTAAAAGGAAGTATAGTGGCACTGCATAATGGTTTAACAGCTGAAGTCAACAGACATACGTTGCCACAACATTTTTCACATCTGCAGCATCGTCGTGTAGACAAAAACAAAGAAGATATAACAACTGATGACGATTACAATCTGACACTGGTTAAACCTCCAGAAACAAACTTAAAACATGCGTACTCAAAGATTCAAGTTCTCAAACAAATTCTCTAGACAACATCAAAGATGACAATAGTACGCAACATGCTGATCAAAACTATTCAACAAATTGTGAGACAGAGTTACAGACTGTTCGGTTCACTCGCTATGGGAGAAGAGTACTTACGAAAGTATCACGATTATGTATGAGCTCTTGTTGAGCTGGGGGAGATGTTGTGATTTTAATGTATGTCAATAATTTGTCAATAATTAGCAAAGCTAATTATTGACAAAAGTCACACGTTGCATATATTTATTATTATAACGTTTTGTATAATGACCATTAATTGTTGACAAGAGTCACAAGTTGTATTTTTAAATGTTATATATAGTAAACAATTTTGTTGTAAAAACGTTGAGATTGTTGATAAGTAATAAAAACATTAAAAACAAAATGGCTTCTAAATGCGTTGATCAACGGAAAACAAACATAAATTTTGCAGCAAAATGTGTAACGAATTAAACTGTGATATGAATTTTACAAAGATTACAACTTTAAGTTATAATTTTTGTAAATTTCTGTAAGATGGCAGATAATTATTATAATTATTCAACTGTTTTACCATTGAAACAAAGATTCAATGCAATATTTGTAATAAAATCTGCTTAAGTGCTAATGTGAGATGTAGCACCATTAGCAAGTCTTCCTAAAACAAACAGTTATTATTATTGAAGAGATATGGCTTATTATATTTTTATTATTGAAGGTGAAGTGGCTTAGTCATTATATTTTTTATCACTCATGTAATTGGTCCAGTCATGTTGGATATGCAATAGTTTTGCAACAATAAACACATTTTGTTATAGAGTTATTTCCGTCAATTTTTCTTATTAAGTTGAATTAACAGTTAAGGGGTGACAATTAAAAAACAAGACTGGATTTAAAAACACATATCTCCTTAAAGAAATAAGATTTTAAAAATAGGAAAACTGTTTTAGAGGGTATTTTTGTTCTAGTTTTTAAATATTTTATGTGTTTTTATTTTTTTATAGAAAAATGAATAAAGAAATAAATTCAAAACAAGAAGAGATTAAAAAACCTGTGTATAAATTTTATTTAAATTATAAAAACGCTGGTAAAAAGTTCACTTATGACCACTTTAAAGTTGAGAATATACCTAAAAGTACTATCTACAAGACAATTAAAGGTGCTGAAAGTGAATCTGGATACCAAAGAGTTCAAGGAAGTGGAGTAAAACCAAAAAAATGACCAGGACAAACATTGTAAGGCTCAAACTCATGTTTGACTATAAAGACAGATTTTTTCATCGACAGGCAGCTAAAAAAATTCAACTGTACTCAGCAAAAGTAAATCATTAAAAAAAAGAACAAATAGTAAATCAAGAAAAAAAAAATGATTCCAAAACGCTCTGACCAGCTAAAAGCAGTAGCTAGAACTAAGTGTAGTCAATTGTGTCAGAAATTCAAAAATTGTAAATCAATCATTGACAATGAGTCTTATTTCACGTTAAATCACTCCAGTACCAATGGAAATTATATATTTTATACTAGTGATGTAAAATCTACTCTATCTACAGTTAAATACCAAACAAAACAAAAGTTTCAAAAGAAATTACTTCTAATGATTGCTTTTTCTGAAAATGGAATTTCTCTACCTTTTTTTGTTTTTTTGTGGACTGGCTGTAAACCAAAAAATCTATTTAAGGAAATGTATTAAGAAGGGACTTATTCCATTCATCAATAGGTATCATTCAGATGGTACATATGTATTCTGGCCAGATTTAGCATCATCTCACTATACAAAAACAGTAATTACCTAAACATGGAAAACGTGCATTATGTTCAGAAAGCGGATAACCCTGCAAACTTGCCAGAATGTCACCCTATTGAAAATTTTTGGAGTATTTTGAAAGGCCTTGTCTACAAGAATAATTGGCATGCAGAAAATCTTAAAAAATTACGTTCTAGAATCAAGTATTGCCTTAATAAAATTTATATTGAGCTCATACGAAGACTAGCTCAGTCTATACCAGATCTAGTTGATAAAGTCAGAAGAAATGGTTTAATTGGGAAAACTGATTATATATTTAAAAACTAGAATAGAAATACTTTCTGGAACATTTTTCCTTTTTGTTTTCTGTTATTTCTTTAAAGAGATATGTGTCTTTAAATCCAGTCTCGTTTTTTAGTTGTCACCCGATATTTGATAACCAAAAAAAAAGTCACAAAAAATTTTTTTTTTTGCATCATTTATAATTTTCTCAATTTATAGCTCTAAAATTTAACATCACAGTAACTTTCAGAATCAGAAAAAAAAATAATAACTTTGAGAGCTGCCACATTTATATATACATCAAAATATCAGCAGTTTATGAGAACTTCCATTATAGAATACAAGCAAAATGAATAAAATAAATTATATATGAAGTCAATAATTTAAAATAAATTTACTAATAATTAACATATAACTAAATTTATATTTTCTGAGATGTTATTTCAGGTTAGAAATTATGAAATTTGTTACATATTTTCCAGTAGATATTCCTGAGAAATCATAAATTTTTTATTTTTCCAAGAGTTTCCAGGAATGTGGCAACCCTAATCGATAATCAAAGCGAATT